GTTCTGTGCCCAGCCACAAGCCTGAGACAGGTTCCCCATGTTTCCCTCTTGCTCCTCCCCCGGGACCTGTAGAGTGGGGAAATCTCCACGGGTACCTGTGTCAGCTCACCAATTACCCACTAGGTCATGCAGCTTCTGAAATGAGATAAGCATCTACCCTCACGCACCAAATAAAACCCAGGCTAAGATAAATAAGACAACTTGCTCTCAGGGCGAGAGCTGGGCATGCACGTTTCACTAAAGCAACAGTTAGATTTGGTGAGAAGCACGTAAACGAAAGAGAATTTACACCAGCATGCCTCCTTGTTGAAGGCAGACAGTGGGGAGCTCCTGTTTTAGGTGTACCAAAAAAACTTTTATGCAATGGAGGTAAAAGAGGCACCATAGCCATCCCCAGTCTGAAAGCAGCAAGAGGAAAGAGGCATACTGAAAAACGCTGCACAAACACACACTGCAGCGCTTCCTTACTGCTCACGGCAATACCTCGCTAGGTCTGTAGTTGCTTCCTTTCACCTTTGTTGAAGACAAGACACTGCCTCCCAGAATTCCAAACCGTTTGAAGAAATTCTTCCCAATATTTCAGTGATGCGGGCGCTTTCCTGCAACACCCCATACAGGCCCTTCAGCTCCTTGTAAAGTAGATCACGAAACCCATGTTCTTTTTCAGTATAAAATAATCTTCTAATCCTGGCCACCAAGCAATTAATAACAGGACAGAAAAAACAACCAAAAAGCTACTTTCAAAGGGAGCTCTCTGGCAATTCTAAGACAGAGAAACCCTCTGAAACAGGAAATCTACTGCTGCAAAGAGGGTGCTGCACAGCTTTGCTCACTCTCCATTAGCTGGCCAGTGGAGCAATAAAGTGACAAGAGTTTCCAAAGTAAAGTTTGCTTTGGTGCCTAATCAGGCTTTACTCCACCTGAACTCCTGCTGACTTCAATGAGAGGTTAGATGGAGTGAAAAGTGAATGAGGACTTGAAGGTTTGGCCCTTTATGAGCCAAGATTTAAGCTGTAAACTTATTTAAAGACACAAGAATCTCTGCAGCTGAACTCAATGCCACTTTTGAACACAAACCTGTAGAAAACTTGTTTTTCTTTGTGCAAATCTCACATGTTAACATGATTAAATCTGCTGGGCAGGTGTCTCCTCATGTCCATGTTTGCTTTGGCACACAAGTTGCCCCTCTCACCTCTCTAAATTCATGAAAATTTAGTGTTAAAGCCTGCCTTTTGTTACATGAGCGTGCCAGGGAGCCCCTCTGCCTTCCCACACCAAGGCTTGCTCATGTCACAGCTGGGCTGAAGTTCAGCCCAGCGCTGCCAGGTGCCCAGGCTGGGGAGAGCAAGTGTGGGTACTCATCTTCCATACGCAGGCAAGCGTGGCATGGGATCCACCACCAGCTCCTTACTGCACAATCCCTCTACTGCTTCTCAAGCTGTTTCTTGAGTTGCCAGTTTTCCAGCTTCCCTGATGAATCCCCTGCTCCTGGAATCATCTGACTGATCATCCTAGCTTCCATGAAAATTAGTTTTTAGCTATTCAGATGAGATATACAAAGGAATCAGAACATGACTCTTTACAGCTCGAAACTATACACTTGATATAATCTCCAAGGCACCACTGTAATGCTATTTGCAAAGGTTTTGGGACCCAGCTGTAGTGCTCAGAGTGCTGACACTCTGCCCTGCACAGACTGGACAGTCCCTCACCTACCATTTCCTTTGCTGTTTGCTCCCTGCCATTGGTACGGTAAAAATTTGCACCTGTTTTTTTAGATCAATACAAGCAAGTTCCATTTTAGAAACTGTTCAAAGGGACTAAGATTCAAAAGCATGTAGCAAGCACCAGTGAAGACATTTTTTATTAGCCCAGAAAAATGTGTCTAGCAAGAACAGTTGGCAGGGTGAAGACCCTCTAAGACGCAATATGCATATTTAGGTATCAAGTGGCACACGCAGCTCTCCCAGCACTCCTTTCCCAAGTGCAGAGATGACCCAGGTGTTATCTGCTCACATTTTATAGCAATTCAGCTGAGCCACAGCAAACTAACGGCATCCTGTTGTACAAGTCTAGATGCTTTTGGAGCTTTGCAAATTGCTTTTTGTTTAGCAGATTAGTCCTGAACATTCAAATCTTGCACCTCATTTTTTGTCTAATGTCTAGGAAATTATAAAAGCAATTAGCTCCCTAAATCCTTCTCTTATCTGTAATTGGGTGTGATTTTTTTTGTTGTTTGTTTGTGAAAAACACTGAACAAAAATAGTGTCCGCTATATGGGCCAGGAAAATAGACCCTGATGACAGCCAGTTTATCTTCCACAGCTGACTGAACAAACCAACAACTAATGGGTATGTTTTCAGGAACACTTCCAACCAAGAGCCGAGGTGACAGACAGACCCGTGGAGGTTTTACACAGCTCTACACTTTCCATTAGAAATGAGAAGACTCCCATTACTTTCCCTTCCTGCATAATGTCACATTGCCAGAAATATCCCAAGCCCAATGGGGCTATGGGCAGGAAGGCAGAACAAAGCATGTGCCTTAGAACACATTTCCACCAGCTTCAACGAATTTTTTAAAAAATAAAGAACATGAACCAGAGACTGTAACTGCAGAAAGTTCCAACTCTGTTTCTTTCCCACCCTCACCCTTCCCTTTGGACAAGCACATGATTTCTAGCAGGTGTGAAAGAGCCAGGAGACAAACAAAGGAGATAAAAGACAGAAAAACTCTGGAGAGCACTCAGGAGGCCACAACACAAGCACAGCACACCAGCTCCTAGCAGGCAGAGGCACTCTACCATTATCTAGTTCACAGATGGACCACCCAGAAAATCTGGGAGCAATTAGGAATGAGAACAAACAAATGCATGGAAAGAAGGGGGGAGGGAAAATGGGAAGGAGAGCCAGAAGGGATTCCTTACATCATCTCCATGCAAGCGTTTCGAGAATGAAGTGAAGCTATATGGAGGAGGAATGCAGATGAAAGAGTTTGCAGTGAGAATGCAATAAAGTAAAAGGCTATGAAAACATGCAGCGTATGAATGAATTACAACATGGCCATTAAATTTACAGAAAGTCAGGACAGTGTGTAAACAGAGAAGAAACCCATCAAGTTCTTGGAGACACAGACACGCACATATAAACAGATCAAATGCTAAGTGTCTCTTGCTGTTAACAGCATGTCAACCCGCCTTGCAACCCAGGGATCTATCAGGCAGAAAGCTGACTCACTTTCCTCTTCAGCTGTCAGTAACTGGCATTAAATATTGGCAGGAAAAACACAAATGCTACAAACCAACACCAATGCAACCTCACGTACTATGCATGGATAGGAACCATAGCAACACCCAAGGGGCTTATACTACCAGAGCTGTGTGCCTGGGAGCAGCCAAGTTTCTGCTCGTCTTGTTTCCACTTACCTGGCTGGCATCTAATCTCACTATTAGTCAGCACCTCCCAACACCAAGTTATACCTTTCTTGCTTGGGAGGCTGACCTGATCATGGTAACCAAGTGCTTTGGCCCAACTGATTTCAAAGTGACTGCTGAGCACTCTAAAAACAAGGCCCATTATTTAATTAAATGCCTGATTTAAAGCATCTTTATCGGTTTTAATTTTGGCATAGAAGGTTGCCTTTGTTGACCACTGCTGCAAAGTTTGCTTTCTCTTTTTAAATCATTTGATATGCAGTTTTTGACTTTTGCTAGTGAGTACAACTTATGAACTGTGTTCTGTGGGATCTAAAAGCCACAGCAAAAAAATTACTCTAAATAAAAACTGAAGATACCAAGTGTTTTGAAGTGATCTTAATCAATAACACTGTGTTTACTTTGTCTTGGCCTCTGAGAAGCGAACTCTGGTCATTAAGGACATCTTATAAACACACTGAAGTTCACACAAGCATTTTTTAAAGCTTTGCAGTTTATCATAATCTCAGTAAACTCACTCCCTGATAATTTTCTCTAAAAACAGTCCTTATTAACTCACAAGTTCAGTTGAAAAAAAATCTACTATCTGCTCGTCTTAGCAGCAGCTACAATATGGCAATTAGTTTACCTCAGAATAGACATCAAAGGCTCAAAGGATGACCCTGCCCCAGAAGAACAAAATCTTTTAAAAGCCCCATTCCACTCAGTTTGCTAGTTTATAAGGTTTGCTAAAATCCAGTTTAATGATCATGTAGTTTCTTAGCAAGTCATGTGGTGCCATATTGTGTAAGAAACAGAAGAGTTAGTTCTAAAACCTTTTTGAACTTGGAGAGCTTTTCCGACCAGCTGATGCAGAACCCCATTCTGAGATGGTAAATGAAACTGTTGGATGTAAAAGCCTGACCATGATTTTCTTTAGCTTCTTTCAGAAGAGACAAAAGTTCCCACACAACACATACTCTCCCCATACAATGAAAGATTCAATAATAGCAATATATTCAAGTCCATATGGTGCGGTTATAAGGGAGAGGCAAAACAAGAAACTAAGAATCCTGAAAGCAAGAGGCCTGTAAGCTGTGGTAGAAAAAGCAAGAGCATGAAAAAAAAAATTAAGGTGAAACTGGATGAAGTAGTAGGGCACATTGGATTAGACAGTTCTTCTTTTAGCTACAATCTTTATATCCTGAGCTGCTGACAGTTCCCTCCCCTAACATGGTTATCATACAATTTCTTAATTTTTTCTGGATGATATATGACAAAGTGCTTTCAAAACCAGTCTGGCCCAGTAGCCAGGTAATAGCACTACATGTTACCAGGCAGGGTGACTGAGCAGCAGTTTCCAATACAGCCTCACAGCAGTAATGCAGAAGAAATGAAAATGGAAGGGCTGGTTTCACCGGGGGGGAACAGATATATATGAAAGGGAATAACAATAAATGAATAATAGAGGAGAGAAGTCTTCTTACCCTGTCTAGAATCAGATTTGAATGGTGAACGAGAAATAGGGAGGGGAGAGGACAGGAAGGACAAATTGTTGCTTTAAATATTTAGCATAGACTTGCCCCACCTCTTTCCATTACTATCACGAAGCATGGCTTTTCCCAGCTCTCTTGTCTTCGTCTCCAGCTCCTGAACTTGTTCCAGCAAAGTTTTATGGTAGGTATGCTTAGCCCTGTACCACAAGGAAAAGACAAAAACAAAACAAAAAAGCCATGTGAACATTTGTTTTGCTACAAACCCCCAAATTTACCTGTCAGGGGAGAGGCACAGGGCCTTCCCTTGAAGGATTTGGAAAAGAAGGCACAGTGTTTCCATGTTAGTTCAGGTTCACAATACCTGGGAAAAAATACGTAAGAAATGAGAAATCAGGAGGACTTCAAATACAACAGAGTTTGGCTGCTTCAACAGAACACTCAAAACCTAACTAAGCAGCCAAGCTATGGGACCACAGAGATCTGACACCGCTGCCGTGGAACTGCTCAGGACCCGGGCATTCAGACAAAGGGCTGGGATTCATTGAATATTCATGGCAGTAAAACAAGATTCCACCCTGTCTTTTGAGCTATGTGTGGTACTGCTCTGAAAACCCGAGGAAAGTCTCAGATAGTAATTGCCATTCAAACCCCTTGATTTTTGTTTATCATTCTCACATGACTGGAAAGGAACTTCTCTCCCCAATGAACTTCCAAACTCACAGTAACAAGACTGGCTGTGACCTACTTCCTCAGTTTGAGGATTGAAAGAGCAACCTATGTACAACACCTGTAACCAAAATTTAGAGTGCAATTCCCCCCATAAAGAGACTTGATCTTTTTAGCCCCAGTTGTACCTATTGCTCCAGTGCTATTATACCTAAATTACATTGATCTAGGGGAGAGAATCTAGTCCCCTTCGTCTTGACATGTACAAAGCAAGAAAAAAAGAAGCAGGGATCTTTCTTCAATGGGCAGTTTTTGATCAGCTTCCTCTTTTGTGTCACTTAAAGGAGGATAAATGTCCCATGAGAATATAACGATTTGCATGTGACTGCAAAAGAAGACAAGATGGAGCCAAGTTGGCTGAGACAGTACTTGCTTCATGGCATTAAAATAATATTCTTCAACTCCAGAGATGGTAAAAATTCCTTTACAAGTTTTATAAAAATCTTACATGCAGACACTAAAATCTTTAACCAATGATATAAAACAATGTCAAACTCCCTCTAGGAGAAAAAGAATGACTGGTGTATATGTAATTAAAATATAATGAAGACGCATTTATTTTTAAAAGGTACTTATGATACTTATAGCTCCTTCCATGGGGAATAAGAAACAAAGACCGCAAAATCTTTGCTGAAACTATTTAGGATGACACTGCCTTGATATTAATACTAAGATATCCAAGTCCTCTGGTCTTTGTGTTGCTGAATTAGGCAAATGCCTAAAAATGAGAAGCTAAAATAAAAACTACTTTCAAAACATATCTGCATTTAAGAGAAAAAAATAGAACAACAAAAGATGAAGCATAGAAAAATCTGGAAGTAAAGATTATCAGGATGTACTTAGAAGAACATACTGTTAAACCAACAAAGGTGTATGATTTGCAACACCAACATACTGTGTAGAAAGAAATGAGTAGCAAGGATATTTTTAAAATTCATAATGCTTCAACAATGTGAGATTACCAACAGCTGCACAGAAATTAATTAGACTCAAGTTGCTATAACTAGTTAGGCTAATGATTAGACTGGTCTCCTCTTTGAGGAAGGGAAAATATAGCTATTAAAATGAGAAAGCTTTGAGGCTATTAATTCTTATAATCTTTCTGGTTGACTTCATCATCGCAGTCTTTAATTCAAATAAATGCATTGAAATTTTGACCTTGAACTTCTCTCTTACCTTTTAAAGAGGCCATACCTACTATTGCAAACTTGAAGACTGAGCATGTTTGGAATTTTTCAAATCCTTTATAACCAGTTTTCCCCATAGACAAGAACACATATGCACAAGTTATTCAGCCTCTCCCAAGGGTCCATGTGTATCTTGCCACACATCATAAGAAATGATGTTCACCTTTAGAATAAATATTGAATCCAAAACTTAACAGATCTTGAGCAACAAGTCCAATTTGTGCAGCACAGCTCAAGGAGGCTGATACGGCACAGCACGGAAAAAATACTGTTGGCCTGAAGTTTGGAGTACCTGAAGTGTTTTGTAAGTAGTGTGAAACAATGAAACACAAGGGCTCTGCTGGGGCTGGGTATCCATAAAGCAACAATAAGCCCACAGGTAGTCGCTGTGCATTGAGTCACTCCTTCACTTGGAAGCAAGAATATCCATGGAAGGGTCAGTAATCAAGTATTTATAAATAAATAAAAAAATATAAAAAGGGTCTGAGCTAACCTATCCACATGTTCCCTCAAAAACAAATATTAAAATATGGTACTACAATTGCCTCAGAGTCTGGGCTTGCTCCTATCAAAGACAACTGCAAATATTCCATGGACTGCTGGAAACAGGACTTGAAACTTTATGACTTTTTCACTACAGCACATTATAAACTTTTGATACACAGAAACACAGGGAGGAGTCTAAGCTTTTAGCTTAGTACTTTACAAGTGGCCCTAGATGCACAGTCTCTCAATAAATGATGAGACCTTGTGTTCGATGTTACTGTTCAGCTGCAATTTGATGCATTACATAAAGACAAACTCACCTTCCCCTCACACATTGGGATATTAAGACCAGAGACCATAAGAACGGGCAAAAGGTTAACTGTATTTTGTATGGCCCTTCCCCTTCCAAGCCAGGGAAGTGCATCCCTTTGCTGCCCTAGGAGGATATTTAGGGGGGTCAGGAGGCCAGAATCTGCCAGGGAGAAGCATGATAGCATTCACAAATGTTTCTCAAACACGACACCACCTCTATTGTGGGCCATTATCCTCATTACCATCTTACAAGTCTTGCACTCCAGGGGCTGCAGGTATGTGCAAGGAAGGGAAGAACTCTTTGTACTCTCTCACACAGCAGAACTGGTAAGTGCAAAATGCTTCTTCCCCCACAGTAAAAAAAAAAAAAAGTACACGAAAATTTTGGTAATTGGAAGGCTCAGGAAATTTTTCACTGTAATGGAAGTACTGAGATACCAATTATGACTAAATTCTTGCCCTCTTGCCTGATTTTGCTGAAATACACTCTGCATTTTTATGATTCCCACGTAACTCTGTGGCTCAGCTATTTCAAGACTTCCTAGCGCTGGTGACACGTATTCAAGTCACAAGTGCCAACTGTGAGGAAGCACTCACCTTATAAAGCTCTGTTCATTCAAATGGTTGCACAACTAGAACTTTTATAAGGTAAACCAAGGCACTGAATTCAGGGTAGTGGACCAAAGTTAATAATGTGGTATTTCAACCAAATATTAATAATAAGCTTCCCTCTCTTTAAAGAGAGTTTTCCACATTTCCTTGATTCATTTAAAAAAAAAAAAAAAAAAAAAAGGAAAAAAATAGCCTGGAGCTGCAGAGAACATGGGAGGTAAGTGATGTTTTGACAAACGGAGCCTGTGTAACAAAGGGAACACGTAAAACTAGTTCTTGCTTCCAGCACTAGAAGTTTTGATAGTGCATGCAGCACAGCAGTCTAGAAACAAAGATTTGTATAGGTCTTTCCAATCAACCTTTTTCCAGACAAAAACTCTGTAGCATGTGTATGGTATTCTGGCAGTATTTTGTACTGCAATTAGGCATGTACCTTTTGGGTCACATGGATGCTCCTCTTGCGGACATACGCTTCACATCCAAAAGAAATCAAAAGGGATAAATTCCATGATCATGAGAAATCAGAGTTGCTGTAATTTTATAGCCAAAACCATATTCTGTTGAATTACAGAGAGCAATGTGGTGTAACCACTGCTATGGAAATGTGCCGGCAGATTTCCAGAGGCCTTAGGCTCCAGTTTTAAATGGCAAGCCTCTTGGAAAACAAACAGACCTTTACTCCTTCCATATGGCAGTGCTGATAGCTGTGTCATTTCATTTATCCTAGTTAAAATGTTAATGGTGTTAATTTTTCAGTGATGGGTTAGGGGAAAAAAAAAGTCCTGCTCACAGAACAGATTTTTTGCTTAATGTTGATAGGAGCCTTCTGTTTAAAATCTGTTGGGAAAATATCTAGCATATCAATCATACACGTTTGTCTTGAGAGCTTCACAATCTCTGTACATTCTTGGTCTGAACCACTGAAAGGATTATGTTGCTGAGATTTCTCCAAGAAATATTAAAGAACAGGCTGAGTCAGTAACAGAGTTTAAAATGACTAATAGCTGAGGATGAGCCTGCCATGGCCTGGCCTGTTTTACAATTCATGAGTCATTTTTTGCCAAGAACTGATAAGAACAGAGGACAACTTCAGGACACTCAACTATCATGAAAACATTTAAAAAACTGAAGTGTAATCTTGGACATCTATACATAAATTTGATCCCTGATGCTGCAAACAGTTCATCTCCTATTTAGCTTTAATCACAAAAGTTCCACTGACTTCTAAGCAGATAATTTTAAATAATGCCTGACACAGGAGCAAGGCCTGTTATGCTAAATGAATTTTAAGATTTTTTTTTTCCCCAGAGTTTTAAGGAGCTGGTCGCAGACACAGTTAAGTATCTAAATTTAAACATTTTGACTTCACTTTTAGAATTTTAAAATAATTTTCAATTGAAGAAGTTTAGTGAGTGCAACAAAAAGCCCTCTGATATGCTGGACTATTAAATCATAGTTTGACCCTGAAAAGAAATATTACAGTATGATACCTAGTTTTAATTTTAGCAGTAGTTCATGAAAATTAAGCTGAGGGAGACAACAGGAAAGCGTTTAAGAAGTACTTACTGATTGGTAGATTTGCCTACTACCAATTTAATTTAGCTGTGCTATCAACCCCATATGAATAAAACCCACATTTTTCAGATCTATGCATATGACTTGATTTCATAATGATGTTTGAAATTTGCCTGTGTTTGGGAAACTTTCTGCTTTTTGTCAGTATTTTCTGCATTTCTCCGTAAAGCAGATTGGTGGACTTTGTAGTGCTAGGTTTACAAATGGACTTGATGCTACTTTCCAACCTAAATGGTTCTATGATTCTAAGAATCTTCCTTGACTGACCAACAGTTCATTCCTGGAGCTAAGTGTTATGTGTTATGATGCTTCCACTTTGAGCCTTTGTGAAAAGTGACAAAGCTAACATGTATTTCTCCTTCACTCCAGTTAGGATCTGCCTTTTGCCCAAGAATGTCCTGGGTCCTCCTTGCACAAGGTTATTACATATCCATGCAACAAAACCTTCTTAGTTGTTTTCCAAGGGAAAGGATGAAAGGTTTAGTGCTTAAGACACTTAAAAGTATGCTGAACAAAACACCAGAAATTCTAAATGAAAATATACTTCTGCATTTCAAATTGCAATGGTAGAGAAGGTAAGTTGCTTCCCTTTGAATCCAAGTTCTTGAAATTGCTTGCCTCCTGTAATGCTTTGAAACCACAGAGTTTTGAGAGAAGGGGATTAGACCAGTTTCTATTTCACAAGTTTTTTCCTCCTCTCTGGTCAGGGAAGGAATCATTACAACTTCAAACATAAAGTGTGGAGTATTGCTCTTCTCTCAGTTAAGTTTTGGAAGATCTGCTGCTGAAGGAGAACCTAAAAAGCAGCTGATGAATAACTTACTGAGACAGCTTACTGAGAATGGATTAGAGTGTGACATTTTTACTTTCTACCTAAGCTTAGACAGGTTGAACAAATTATTTGCTCCTTTTTAGGAATAGAAAGTCTCTAATGTCCAGTTTAAATTTGCCTTTAAGTAAAGGATAGACAATACAGATAATCATAAGGTGACACACCTTCATTACTCAGATAAGGCTTCCTCCTTCAGATTCAGGACTAACTATTCATTCTCTCACATTGCTGGTTGCATTGACAGGTGAGAAATCATGCCCATTTCACCTTTTTTCCCTTCCAAAGGAGTACCATTTCACGTTCACTGAAAGACTTCATAGTTCTTTACAGAACAACACTGAACTGGACAACACGTGAATACAGAATAATTCCTAAAACACGAAGAGGACTGGTCTGGGACTTACGCTGTCCACGCCACATCTTTAACAAGGCACGCAGTGGGCACAAGAAACAAGCCAAACCAGAAGTATCCACATCTTAACACCATTCCAGCCTGTGAAGGAAACAAACAAATAAATCATGAGTATTTTCAAGCCATTACATGTTAAGTGGTTGTTTACAAGCAAAAAGTACCTGGCATCAGACAGGTACTGGGTGATGTTGAAATTTGATGGTGCTGGTAAGCCTCATCAACTCTTAACAGAAGATAGGCCTTCAATTAACAAATACTAATGGTATTTTTCACTGCAATGTTTCTTTATGACCTCAGATTCCTTAGAAATTTTTGAAAACAATTTTTTAAAAGCATTTTGACCAAATCCTCCAATGATATTAAGTTGTGGATTCAGGCAGACACATTTTAAGTCATGGAGAAGAGCACCATAAGTATATTTAACTTGCCCTTCTGACTATCTTTTGTGCCTTTTGCTTACTCTGTTTCTACCTACCATCCTGGATCTCTAAGCAGGATCAAACTGACATGAAAAAAACACGTTTCTCACTAAAATGTTTCAGTCATATTCCACTTAAATACAGCACTTCTTGTTCAAACTACTGCTGCCTGAAACCCAGGGTGGGAAAGATTCACTCCTGTCCTGCAAATGGCTTTTTTTACAAACAAAGAGTTCAAAGTTTATCTTTGCGTTTTTCGCATTGTTGCAATGCTTGAAGAAAAAGCTTGGTGGGATTTGAGAAGGAAGAAACCCTGCACAACCCAGCATATACACATAGTTATAGAACAAAGTTGAAATACAACACTATTTACAAAAATGCTATTTTAGATCATTAGAATCTTTTGCAGCTAAATTAATGGTGATTAAGGCCCAGGTTCAGTAAATGGAAGACTTGAGACGTCATCACCTCTTGCATGCAACACACACACTTCCCATCAGAATCCCATCAGAATAAGCTCTCCAGCACATTAGGGACAGAAAGGATTTTTTTTTTTTGGTGCGAGGACACAACTGAAATAGAGGCCGAAGGGTTTCAACAGGATTTCCAGTGTCTAGACAGATTTTGCTCTCTTGCCAGTTATGGACACTGCTGTATCTTTTTCCCAAAACATTTACTTCCCAATATTTTGTATGCTCCATACACACATCTACCGACATTTACATGCAACGTTGCCAAAGGCAGGGAGGCCCGTACCCACGGACACAAAACTGTAGCAGCTGCCTCACCAGTGGAAGGCAGGCTTGGCTGGCTCAGCTTTGCCTCACTACTGTAGCACACAAGCATTGCAAGCCTGCAATGCTAGAGTGCCAAGGCATTGCACAGATAAACACAAAGCTGAGCTGCAGAACATGGAACTACACAAAATATCTACTAACCTTTGAAATATATTGTAAGAAGACAAAATTTGTAATTATACCCTTAAACATGACTGATCACAACAAAAGACTTCTACCAATCACTACAGTAAAGCTTTTAAACCGAGAAAAGCCATCACAGTGCCTTGCCAGAATGTTCATCAATAGCATCTAGTATGTTCTCCTGGTGTTGATCTCCGTTTAAAGTTGTTCACCTAACAACTAAGTCACATCTAGCAGCAACTTCCCTGTTATCCAGGAGGAAGAAGTTAGTGACCTGCTGAGCCACTTGGATCCTCACAAGTCTATGGGACCAGATGGGATCCATCCTAAGGTGATGAGGGAGCTGGCACAAGAGCTCATCAAGCTGCTCTCTATCATTTATCGCCAGTCCTGGCTCACCAGGGAGGTCCCAGATGATTGGAAGCTGGCTAACGTGACACCCACCCACAAGAAAGGTTGGAAGGAAGACCTGGGAAACTACAGGCCTGTCAGCCTGACCTCAGTGCCTGGCAGGATGATCTGTTCCATAACCTTAAGTGTGATCACATGGCACCTACAGGACAGACAGGGGATGAGAGCCAGCCAGCATGGGTTTAGGATGGACAGGTCCTGCCTGACCAACCTGGTCTCCTTTTATGATCAGGTGACCCACTTGGTGGATGAGGGGAAGGCTGTGGATGTGGCCTATCTGGACTTCAGCAAAGCCTTTGACACCATCTCCCATAGCATACTCCTGGAAAAGCTGGCAGCCCATGGATTGGACAGGGGCACTCTCTGCTGGGTTAGGAACTGGCTGGAGGGCCGGGCCCAGAACGTGTTGGTGAACGGGACTGCATCCAGTTGGCAGCCGGTCACTGGTGGTGTCCCCCAGGGATCAGTGTTGGGCCCAGTCCTGTTTAATATCTTTACTGATGATCTGAACAAGGGGACTGAGTGTACCATTAGCAAATTTGCAGATGACACCAAGTTGGGGGGGGAGTATCAACCTGCTGGAGGGTAGGAGGGCTCTGCAGAGGGACCTGGACAGGCTGGATAGATGGGCCAAATTCAACAGTATGATGTTTAACAAGACCAAGTGCAGGCTCCTGCACTGTGGTCACAACAACCCCATGCAGTGCTACAGGCTGAGGAGAGAGTGGCTGCAGAGTGACCAGGAAGAGAGGGGCCTGGGGGTTCCAATCAACAGGAAGCTGAACATGAGCCAGCAGTGTGCCCAGGTGGCCAAGAAGGCCAATGGTATCCTAGCCTGGATCAGGAATGGTGTGGCCAGCAGGACCAGGGCAGTGATTCTGCCCTTTGTATTCAGCACTAGTTAGGTCGCACCTTGAGTACTCTGTCCAGTTCTGGGCCCCTCAGTTTAGGAAGGACACTGAGGTGCTGGAGAGTGTCCAAACAAGGGCAATGAGGCTGGGGAAGGGACTGGAGCATAGGCTCTATGAGGAGCAGCTGAGGGAGCTGGGGTCGTTCAGCCTGGAGAAGAGAAGGCTCAGGAGAGACCTCGTCGCTCTCTACAACTGCCTGAAAGGAGGTTGTAGCCAGGTAGGGGCCGGTCTCTTGTCCCAGGCAACCAGCAGTACTACAAGGAGGCACGGTCTTAAGCTGTGTCAGGGAAGGTTTAGGTTAGACATTAGAAAGAAATTCTTTACAGCGAGAGTGATCAGACATTGGAATGGGCCACCCAGGGAGGTGGTGGAGTCACTGTCCCTGGAGGTATTCAAGAGACTGAATGTGGCACTTAGTGCCATGGTCTAGTTGACAAGAGTGGTGGGCTGGACTCGATCTCACAGGTCTTTTCCAACCTGGTTGATTCTGTGATTCTGTAACTTGCCCTTGGATTGCCCAGTAGCGAGTACTTCCAAAAGCATTTTTAATTTTTAAATGTTAAATCCTCTATGCTATTGCTGGACTGACAGACCAGTGGTAAATCTTGTACTGAAACCAAGAGCAAGCTAGACAGTGCTAAAACATTTATGGACACTTTGCCACCCACACAGACAGTAAGCAAACACATTTCAGTCCCAGAATCAGCTCTCAGTTATTTGGGAGCCCTCATGCCTTCATTCACATGTGAATGCCAGAAGCATACAGGCAGTTTTGATCAATGCTTATTTAAAGAAAAGGATGTGCAGGAATAAGAGAGAATTCATAACTTCATTGTTAGCCAAAAAGCAGAACTGTAATAACAGTGCCAAAACTTAATGAGATTTATTCTCATGCTTTGCTCTTCTTTGGCTGTGACCCTGCAAGTGCTAGCAGTCACAGAACCACATCAGCATTATTTCCACTGACCATCCTTACGCTGCCTTTGCTAATAAAGGCTAAAAAGGGTCCATAGTATTCCATATGCATTTTCTGCTATTTTTGCTCTGAAATATTTTACGTTCCACTTCTCGCTTTTCTAGTTGAAAGCAACTTGACACACTTTCAAAGTGCAGAACAATCTGAGTATGTGTTCAATAGAAGTTTAAATGCTATTATTGTTGTTATAAATGTTGACATCTCAACCAATGGCTATGAATTTGGACATGTCTCACATAAAAAAAAAATCAAAGCCAAATACTTTTTGCCTGCAATTATGTATTTTACTCAAGTATTGTTCTTCCAAAAACTTCACCATAACAGTGAAACTATTCATCTCATCTGAACCCTGTCAAACACTCATTTTACTACTGGCAAGCCTTTTTCCACACAATCCTTACGAAAATTTTACTCCATTTCTGAGCTCATCTGGAAGTTTCTTTCTTGCTCACCTCTAGTTTCCCATAGTTATTCTATGCTGCTTGACAGTGAACTGGTTTGTCTTGCATGCACAGCTCTGCCTCTGAACAGTCTCCTCTCTGGCAGGATCACACCATCTGCTCACAGGATGGGGGGCTCCTCAGCAGAGGATTCACTGGAAATCACCTAGCATGTTCTGGGGACATCCACAGACTACCCACTTTTAGGATAGTCTCCAACTTGCAGGATAGAGAGCTGGGCTATGAACAGAAGCTACAATAAGAACACCTATATATCCCAGCAAAGCTTTTCTCAGGCTTCCCAGCTGTTGCTGTGCTGCATTCCAGTTGCTCAGCTATTCCTGACAGCAAAGACAGTACTACGTTACATCTTTAGTGAAACAGGGCATTTCTATACCCAGTCCCAGTGAATAACACCTTTCAGCTATCAGTTATACCCTGCTAGATAGGAAAAGCAGAGCTACCAAACAGGAATGATCACTTTTTCTTTCTTTCTTTCTTTCTTTCTTTTTTTTTTTTTTTTGGTAAAGATCACAAGAAGCAGTAGAAATAGGTTGTTTTTAAAAAAAATTCAGAATTTTGAGCAGCTCTGTCATCACACAGGCCCCACAGTATGCAACTAAGTAATTTTTATTCTGTCTACTGATGTAAACATTAGAGACTATCCCATCCAAATCTAACTACCAGAGATCATTAATCACAAGGCACCCCCCCAAAACACTTGAGACTAATGCAAGTCCTCCTACTGAGGACATTGCAACTTAAACTGCTGCCACCAGTAGACTGCCTTTCAAGCACTGATTAATCTGCCACAGACAAAGCACTCATTTTAGAGAACTGGTAACATTTGTTAAAAAGAAAGAATGGGAACAAGAAAAGAAAGAAAAAAAATCTTGGCTCCAGCTATTTCACAACTGAGGAGAAAATAATTTAGGTCCCGATACCTTTAACCTCTTGTAAACAACTTTTGCAAGAGTGAGTAGTTTCTTTTTCTTCTTTTAAAC